AAGGGACCGTTGACGAGCGATTGCGGATTCTATTCAACTTGGCCACGAACGCACCGGCGGGTGAGGCGCTGAGCACGAATGAGGACGAGAAGAAAGACGAGAGCGACACACGTGAGATTTCCCAAGGGCAGTTAAAACGGCTACTGCACCTACTGCTGGAAACGTACCAGATCCCGTCCGAGAAGCGAGTGTTGGCCGTGGAGGACGCCAAGTACCCATTCCAGGAGTACATCGCCGCGACACCATCTGACATGCTCAAGTCGGCCGCGCAGGCGCAGGTCAAAGACAAAAAGATCACAGAAGAGGAGGTGCGTGACTGCCAGACGTACACGATCGAGGCCTTCTCGCAGATTATGAGGGGCAAGACTGTGTGTCTCTGGGGCGAGTGCTTCTCCAACAGCAAGAAGAAGATGAAGAACTAGGCTTAGCTAGACTAGACTACGTTCCACAATTCAGACCTTAGGGCACATTACTCGTTGGTCCAGACCTCGTTGTCGTTGCTGACTCTGTGCGGCTGCTCTGCTCCATGTGAGCGAGTCGCAGCATCGGATGGACCTCCACTTGGCTCATTTCATGTAGCACCGAGGCCGCACTGTGGCGTAGCTGGTGGAACTGTTTAATCGGAACGTGAATCGTTCTTGTTTTGCCGTCCGAAGTCTGTAGACGCAACAAAATGCACTGCCCCGCAACATTTGCCACTTTCCAGTGTAGTTGCTGTAGTCGCGGTAACGTGAACGTCGCGTTCTCCGCCACCTCGTTCAGAGTGTTCCAATACGTCGCCAGAAGCTGCCGGAATCGCGACTCAAATGCCTCAGGAAGGCTCTGGATGATAGTCTGCTCCATCTTGAGCGACGGCGATTGTGCCATCTCATTGTTCTCCACACCAGGCAATAGAAATCTCATATGCTGACGTGTCGCCGTTTGCAGAAGACCACGCAGGATTTCGGAGAGTGCCACAAAGTCCCGCTGTTCAACGTTGGACACCCCTCTGACCACTTTCTCGGCGGCAACATCATTTTGGCAGTACAGGGCCACGGCCAACTGCATGGACAACTCCAGGTAACGCGCCACGAAGGCCTCACCAACGTCGCGCAGGAGCGCGTGCCAATCTCGAGCTGCAGCAATGAACGTGCTGGTATCCATGAGGGGTCAGAATTGACTTTTTTGCTGACATTTTCTGTCCAAAATGAAAAACCTTTCTCCGGAATGTTTAGAATTTATTGCACATGGGGGTGCGTGAAGTAACAAACACGTGCAGAATTTCCTCACTTGAGACTGCGTCAAACAAAATGTTGTACTTAAGAGCATAGCCGTTGAGACCTCGAATCCGGCGTGAAGACATACAGCAACAAGTCTTAACAGCGTTTTATTCAATTTTATTTTGTCCAATTAAAGCCCGCAGTCTGAAAAAATCCTTCTTCCCCAGTAATGGAAATCTTCTCTGCATCGGCGGCAAGCGTCTGCCTCAGTGACGACGGCAGCTCCGATGACGAGTTCTTCCGTCTTTTCATTCTCCCCTCTTCAGTCCAAAAGCGCAGACCTAAGCAGGGAGGGTCGAGCGCAGGAAAACGCGCAGGAAAAGCTCGAGATCGTGCCGAATGGGGAGCCAGACTGATGGACGATTACTTTGGACCAAACCCGACGTACGATGAACGTAAGCTTTGTATCTACTGCTACGACAAACACATTCCTGTACTAACTGCCATCTACTTGTGTCATCTTATCGTGTCCACAGATGATTTTCGCCGCCGATTTCGTATGCGTCGAAGTTTATTCGAGACTATTGTCAACACACTCGTAGGTGACGAGTACAGTAACTACTTCGTTCAGAGACATGACGCTACAGGACTTCCTGGTTTCTTACCAGAGCAAAAGGTGACGTGTGCGCTGCGGATGCTCGCGTACGGCGCAAGCGCCGACCAAATGGATGAGCTCATACGGATTGGTGAATCAACAGCACTAGAGACTTTGAAGATATTTTGTGCCAGTATTATTCGTCTGTTTGGTGATGAATATCTTCGAAAACCTACACGATATGACATTGAGGTGCTTTTAGACGAGAATGCTGCTCGTGGGTTTCCTGGAATGATTGGAAGTTTGGATTGCATGCATTGGTCTTGGAAGAACTGCCCAACAGCTTGGGCAGGCGTTTACAGAGGTAAAGAAAAGGAGTCAACAGTAATATTGGAGGCTGTTGCTTCTCAATCCCTTTGGATATGGCATGCATTCTTTGGTGTGCCAGGCTCTAGCAACGATTTGAATGTTTTAGAACGTTCTCCACTTTTTGACAACAATATCAATGGCGAGGCAGCTCAAGTTTATTTTGAAGTTAATGGAGCTATCTATGAAATCCCGTACTATCTTACCGATGGTATCTACCCTCCCTGGGCTAGCTTTCAGCAAAGCATCAGTAATCCGATCTGCTTAAAGCGAAAGTTATACGCTGCTATGCAGGAGAGCGTCAGAAAAGATGTCGAACGTGCTTTCGGTGTACTACAACAACGATTTCGGGTTGTAGCAATTCCTTGCAAACTTTGGAGTGCCGAGGCAATGGGTGACGTAATGATCACATGTATCATCTTGCACAATATGATCATCGAGGACGAATGCGGAGATTGTACCTTGAATAATGACTACTTATACGAGGATAAATGGGTGAGTCCGACTCCCCCAGTTGCTGGCAACATTTGTCCAGTATCGATGATTGCTCGCGCATTAAAAACCGTGGAGGATGAAGATTTACACTTCGAATTAAAACACGATCTAATTGAGCACATTTGGCAAGCCTATGGTGCCAGTTAGATGTAGAGTGGTGATGAATGGGAAGTACGCGGTCTTGATGTCCCTGTGCTAAACTAAACTCGAAGCTTGAATGTCGAAGCAATTGTTGTCTGTGCTGCTGTCGTTTTCGGTGGTAAATACGTACGTATCTTGACTTTCAGCTGTCTTCTCTTCATCTTGCGTAACAACAGTACGTGCGGCCTCTCGCATTGTAGTAAGTATTGCCTTCCGCTGCATCGAAAAGTACTCTTTTGATTCGTCACTGTTGGGGTCCTGCATGAAGATATTGAAGTGTAGTTGTTGTTCCATCAGCAACGCCTTCTTCTCTGAAGCAGCAACGAACCGTTGCTGAATGTCGTCTGCTAGCACACCTATAAACGCTTTGCAGCCTTCTAGCCCTGTGGCCGACACACAACGGATGCATCGGTGCCACGTCGTTTTGAACCCGCGGTCGTTGTGAGCTGAGCTGTCCACTTTGGCTTGTCACGGAGCTCCTTCCATGCCGCTAAAGACTCAAATTGTTGCTTGTGACGCTCAGCGTATATCTCCACTGCCGATGTTATGTACTTTTCCTCATTCCATCCAGAGCGTTCTCTACTCTTCAGCTTTGAATAAATGCCTTCAAATTTTGTCACTGCGGGTTGCAGTTTCTTCCACCTGCCAGCAACAGCGAGTTCAGATCGATCATCCGATTCTTTGCTTTTAATTCCAAAGTTGATACATCCTCATGTAGAACGTAGCCTTCTTCTGACCGGCACCGCGTATAGGGTCTTGGGAGGTGTCTATCCATGCCTTGCATAACTGGATAGTGTCGTCGTCGCCCCATTCAGGCCCCTTCCCCATGGTTTGATTGGAATCTTCCCGCGTATGTTGAAGTGGGCCACATAATCTATTAAAACTGGAGTTTTATCTTAAGACTTGTATCGCTACTTTAGAACTTCAAAAAGTAAAAACCGCTGTTAAGACTTGCTGCTGGAAGTTAATAAAAATTGGTCAGGTCTCAATCACGTTACTTTCGCGTTAAAACCGGAGTTGAGACTTGCCGCTGGAGATGCTCTAATAAGCCTTACGATAAGACTTACCGCTGGAGATGCTCTTACAATAAATGTCACTGTTTCGGCTAAGTGCGAAAATCAATTGGCCAACTTTAAGCTTAATTATCTCGATAACTCTCAAAGGTTCGTAAGTAACATTTTGTTTGACGCAGTCTCACTTCACGTACAAGTAAGTAAATTCTGCAGGACTGGCCGAATTTTCCGGATCATAATAAAGATGAGGAGGTCCATTTTCTAAGCCAGCATTAATTGTAAGAAAATACAGTTTTGTTCATTTGCAGGACAAAATGTCTACCACTCTGTTCCATATCAAATCTAACGCAACGAGCGACCGCAGAAAAATACATGATGGCTATTATTAGGCTAAGAATAGAGATTTGCTATTTTCTAATTTGTGGCTGCCAGCTACGAGAAAACGTTATAAACGCATGAAGAAATCTGACCAACACAACAATGCCGGGAAGATTAGAACACAAAAAGACAGAAACAAACCAAGCTGAGCGCACTTTCTAATTGCACAAGGCGCAACCACGCGGCTTCACAAATAACACTGAAGTAATGGTAGTTTAAGTAGCTGAAAAGTAATAAATCTTTTTAATTTTTCAAATAATCAAAAGTAACGGCTGCATTTGGAATCGTCTCGCGTGTCATTCCAGCGACGGCATTCAGGTAGCGCGAGTTCACAGCACGCCCAGAAGCTGCAAGAGTGCGATGCCGGGCCTTAGCGCCAAGCAACTCCCTCCGGAGGTTCTCCGAGCAGGTGATCTGATCGAGTATGACAGTCGTCGCTTTGTCCTCGGCGATCCTCGAAGCCTTCGTGTCGCCGTTGTTCAGGCCATCGATGACAGGCCGGGCGTACCTCTTCCGGTCAATGTAACGGAGTTAGAGATACCGTCACTAGCTTACACTATAGTGCGGAGGAAGCTCGCAATAGTAAAACCAAGTCATAGGTTTGTGTCAAATTCAACTCTGATTTATTTAGGACCAGGGTGGCTACACCTGGTCTCATGTGAACCACTCAAACACATATCTATACCTGATTGGTCAATAAGTGAGTCTGGCTCCTCACTATCAACCAATCAGATGATGACACCTTGGCACACGCTAATCGTGTGCCACTTTACCTACTTATGTAATAACTAAGGAAATATCTACCTACTTATGTAATTGGAGTTGGGCCCATTACATCACCCTCCTCTCTAAGTTGCGCTTACGCAACGTAAGCGCACGGAACACATTTGAAGAAAACTCGAAAGCCCAACGGAGCGAAGATGGCCGAGGACAACACGACGCAGTCAACGGGCGTTAGCACCAGCGCGACGCTGGTGACAGCAGCAAACATCGACACACTAACGGCGACGGTAACCCAGACAGCCGAGACACCGGCTGAGCGGACAGTCACGAGGATCAGCGCCGGAAGCACGCGGTGGCGCGTGATGGATGACGCCCTGGCTCCCTGGGACCTGTACGATTTGTCAGGAGCGGAGAATCCGGATACGCTCGACACTATGAAGAACCACTTTCGTCGCTTCCGCGCGACGCGGAAGAAATACATCGAAGGTGCTGATCGTGAGGGACTTCGTCGCTCCTGGTGTGCCTTCATCCGGCGATGGAACCGGATGTCGCGTGCTGGAGAAAGCTTTGTCGACTGGTTGGCGTATCGCGAGGAGATCCTCGCGGATCATTCGATTGGCGAGCTGCGCGTGAAGGTCTGCAACAACGCGTGGGATATGGATCGACTCTGTTTTGTGCACGTGAGAGAGGGATGTGAGTCCTGTGGTACTTCAACCCGTCCGACTCAACGCGAATGGAGGGGACATCTCGCTGAGCGGCCACTCAGCGGAGAGGAGTCGGGATGGATCGGGAAGTACGAGCACACCCTGTCCAGTATGGATCAGGCGGCTAATCGCGGCGGCTCACGCCGACGTTGCACGCGTCGGAGCGCGGCGTCGTTGTCGCCTCCTCGTGCGGGTCGTTCTTCTGGCCGTTCTCGATCTCGTTCACGGTCTCCGCGGGGTGGCCCGCGGAATTCTTCTTCTTAAGCCGCATGGTCTCATACTCGTGGACCACGTCCGGAACGTCGCGGAGAAGATTGGCGCGGGGCTCCCACGTATCATGCTCTGGGGGATAACCGAGCCAACGTACCAAATAGAGGCGCGCGGTCGGAACCGCGCGAGGAACACGACTACGGACGTTTCGTTGAACGGTCGAGCTGTGGGGATCTTCGTGGTCAACGATACGCTCCACAATCCAGCGCACATCACCCACCGAGTCAATTATCGGTGGTGTGCCTTCACGATGATATGGCGTACGCCCTGTACGTTCAGGGCGAGGTGGAGGCAGCTTCGAACCGTGCGTTGGACGCTCAGGCTGGGGCTGAGCGGGCGGAAGATCGTGCCTGGCGGGCTGAGCAGATCGCGTCGGAGCTTTGGCAGTAGCTGTTATCTCGCCTATGGGGATTGGAGACGCATGTGCTTGGCTCTGTTCAGCAGGGAGATCGTCCGCGAGAGCGGGCGCCAGGGGCTGACGGGTTTCTGGCGCGTCAGGCTCGTCGGGCTGGTCGCCCGACGCATGCTCCGTCTGCTGACTCGAATCAGGAATCGTCGCAGGGAAGTTTGAGTCGCCCGACGTAAAACGTCGGGTGGAGTCTAAGTGACGACGGGATGTCCAAGGTGTAGGCGTCGCCCACAGCCTTGGTTACACGAAAAGGACCGATGCAGCGTGGAGCAAGTTTGTTGGCGCCGAGGTTGGTTACGGCGGAAGCGCAGATTCCCTCGGTTGATAGGAGAACGCGATCTCCTATCTTGAATACATTCAAGTTCTTTCGACCGTGCTTATCAGCTTGTTCCTTTTGCTTGTCCACTGCGTTCTGCAGTGCGTCGCGGACGAACCTTGCGATGGATTGCCTTTGCATGACGAATTCCGCAACCGCCGAGCGATCGGCAGGAAGAACCGAGGGTTTCGGTGTATAGTTGGCCGTGGTAACTTCTTGCTCACGAATCTTGCTGCCTGGATCGATCAAGCTCTGCGACGTCCATCTCATTATCGGAGATGCAGTATGCCGAGGAGGCTCGATGGACTGCTTGGACGGAGAGCGAGTCAGGGCGTTCGCACTGGCTACACCCGAAGATAACCCTGAAGGCGAGTGCGCCGGCAGGCCTGTTGACACCGTTGAGGCTACCGGTGCGTGCTAAGACACCAGTTCACGATCCGGTGATGACCACGACACGGACACGGTGTCCGTAGGGCTGACCGCAGCATCCATGTCGACCGAAGGAGGTTCTCCCCCACCAACGGTGGAGCCGCCAGCATCCGTGGGGTGACCCACGGCGAGAAGTGCCGGAACACGTGGGTGGCGAGCGTTGTTCACGAAGAACGGCGTCATACCCGTCGAGGAGTGCTCGGCGTTGTTGAGGGCAAACTCGGCTAGCGGTAGGAACGAGCTCCAGCTCGTGTACGAAGTTACATAGCTGCGGAGAAAGTATTCAAGGACGCGGTTGACGCGTTCTGTTTGTCCATCCGTCTCTGGATGTGCCGCAGTCGACATCAGCAGTTTGACTCCCAAGAGCTCGAAAAGGCGTGACCAGAACGCGGATGTAAACTGCGGGTCGCGGTCGGACACGATAGACTTCGGCAGACCGTGGTGACGAAAAACTCACGTCGACAAAGTGGGCCGCGGACTCTTCCGCCGTGATTGAGACTGCCACCGGAACGAGATGGAC